ATGGATGGTCCTTTCAGCGTCTTACAACTCAACAGCATGATCCGAAAGTTCCAGGTGCAGTTCGTGCCCGTGAAGTCCAAGAGTGTGTTTAAAGACGGCATGTACTTGTGTCACAAGCAAAATCATTTTACAGGTGTGCGATCTCTTGAGGGCTATGTGCGTCGTTTCGACAATGAGACAGAGTATGTTTGCAATGTGTCCTATTTGCAAACCTTAGCAGATGATTCTTCGACGACTTTGTTTCGACTCGTTCCACGAGAAGAGAAGTTCGTGCATCGGCTTCGTGATCTCTCGGGTGGTGCCGGCCAAGTTTTCAGTCGCAGTCGCCCAGCAGCACGTGAGCAGAGGAAGGTCCTCATGTGTCCTTGTCAAACATGCGTCATTCCTGGGTGTAGTGGCAGTCTCATCGAAAAAAAAGACAAGCAGCTGGAAGCAATCTGTTACACCTTGTCCGGTCCTGTCGAAGTCATTCACCAGTCCAAGCAATGTACAGCACGAAATTGTCGCGCAACCTGTGGATACAACTTCCGGTGGGAGGAGGGCAAGAAAATCAACGTGCTTAGCATCAAGGATTTCGCGGATGGGATGCTCTTTGTGAATGCCAAGAAAGGTTTCTCATTGCAGTACTTGCAGTATCATGAAGAACTCGCATTTAGAGGTCATTTGTCGACTCGCGCCATCGAGCATGCGTACAACGAAGTGTTCGGAGATGAGGAAGATCAGGTTGTGACAGCCTTCAGAAAACTGCACCAGACTGCGATGTTCTACCACTTGGCATTGCAAGAGTTTGAGGTTCTAGGACTACACATGACGTTGGTACTCGACGATGAGGTCACAGATAAAGCGTTGGACATCTACAGTGCGTATTGTCATGCTACTCTGTTTCCCCCCAGTTCGAGGTCAAAGGTGAAATGTTTGGTAGGTGATGGACATCTCGCCTTGAGAGCTCGTTGCGAAGATGGACCTTGCAAACGCGCAGGACGTCCTCGTAAGAACACTCAGCCCATCGGCAAGCACAGCAACGGCTGGTTTATGTGTTGTGACCCGACGAGTGGTCGCATCGTCTCCCTCATGGTCATGCACGAACCGGAATGCAACGAATATGTCACGAAGTCCTTGGAATCGATTCTTTGGTTGTACCCTAAGTGCACTTGCTTCGTGTATGACCGCGCATGTTCTTTCGTTAAAAGTGCCCGCACCAATGAAGCCTTCGAGCAGATCCAGGATTACATCGTCGATTGGTTCCATGCATATGGGCATGCGAAAGATTGTGCCTGTAACCCACGCACCTTGACACAGTCAAAGCAGCTGTCATTAAGTTATGTTGGTGTGTCGAGTCTAGGAAACATACAATTGAAATCAGGTCATCGCAAGAGATTG